GTTGCGGATTTTTTTTTATATAAAAAAAGATTTTGATCATTTTTGATGGAGCCAGTATTTTTCAAGCGGATATGTACGCTATGCCGAGATTAACTTACTTGAAAATACCGTAATTTTACCCTTTAGCGACAGTCTTCCTGACGGATTTGGGTATAATAGGTCACAAGGGAATTGAAGCGTCTGAGGTAGCGAAAAGTTTAGCCAGAGTGGCAGCTGTCTTAACTTTCACATGGCCTTCGCAGTAGTAGCTCACAACACGATGAGGGAAGAGCGCAGAAAAGATATAACAGGTCAAACCCCGCATGCCTTCGTCAGACAAAAAGCGTATTGAGGGGTACAACCTGAAGAAATACATACAAATACAATCTGCATAACTAAGGGATCTAAATAGTCATAAGATGCCTGTCGCTTTTGCGAGTCAGCCAAAGAGATTCCATTGCACCGTTTCAAGATAAGAGAGAAAACTTTTAGCGCAATATGAACAAAGGATGAGCAGATACACTTCCTAACCCCAATTGCTCTTCTTTTTGTCTTGGCCCATGAGCTGGCAAAACAGAGCACTATTGAGGAACTGTCGCCGAGCAAGAAAAAAATGGTGGCGCGTATCCAAACCCGGGCTGATTTGAAAGAGCTATTGTAACGCTATTACAAGGGTATTTTTATTTATTTAACGCAACGTTTTTTTACGAAATATAAGGATTTATATGAAAGGAGCTCGAGCAAATATATGATGTTCAGATATCTCTTGCAAACAAAGCCATGTATTTAAAGGTATTTGTTTAATGGCAATCTACGTTAATCATGATTACCTTTAAAATATATACACAATTTAGACATATCGTTCAGATTTAATGGGTGTGTAGCTTAGACCCGACTTTGGTTTACGTGTTCGTTTTAAAAGCCGCATGATCTAAGCAAATATAACAAACACTGTGGGTAATATGGAGAAAAATAAAAAAATTCTACACAAAAAATTGTGGTTTTTGGGTAATTTTGGAACACGTTCCCGCCACTAAAAATGCTTTTATTTCAAAATATTTTTTATATCAAATTAGTCAGGAAATTAAAATTTAACTAACCGCATGACCCAGAAAGCTTACTATGAAGAATGGATAACCTTTTACTTCTACGTGAACTTTGTTACTTTTTTTCAACTCGGAATTTATGACCTCAAAGGAGTCCAAAATGAGCCAGTCTGGTTGACTGCTCTCAAAATCATGTTTATAACGAATGAAAGACTCGATTTAGGGAAATTTGTAAACTACTACATAGAATGCAGTGCCATAGCATAACTGGTGCGGTTCAGGAAATTAAACAAACAAAAATTTGACGATCTCATATCAGCTACAGGCAGCATGTACATATATCCTAGCGGAGAAAATAAAGTAAGCGAAATTTTTTTTTTCGAATTTTGAATTATTTTCGCCATTCTCCGATATCATTATCCGAACTGTAATTTTTAGACATTCTCTTATCGGATCTCTCCTACTTTTTTCAATATATAGACAATCTGATGTTGGGAAATGTACTTTGAATGTGCTAGCAATATAAAAGTATTACATACATACATATACATATGTTTGGAGCTAAAACTGTCGCACCCGTTGCTAAGGATTTGTCGCTTTAAACAAAAATCTTGCCACAATAAATGATTATTAACACCTTGCACTACATGTTTTTNAAAAAAAGTTTGCTACCGCAAAATAATAACAAAGAACTTATACTCACAAATCGATCGGAACGCTCTCCACATGGCAAACGTGCAACTGCAACATCCGGACTATCTTCGGGTGGTGGTGGTTGTGGTACCCAGTTATATCCACGCCTAGAAATCGGTACACCAAAACGATCATGATGCGATGCTTGTTGTCTGAAATTGACATTTGTGTACATGCAATGTTGTTGCTTTTGCTTTATGTATGGGTGCAGGGTGGCGGTACTGTTACATACATATATGTATTTTGTGTGCATGTGGTGTGCATATGAGCAAGAAGAAAAAAATTACAAATGTGCTTGGTGTTGCTCTATTTTAACTCATGCACGGAAATTGGTAGCTGTTAGCTAGTAGATTACTTATAAATTTAGTTATACATACATATGTATGCTAATATGTTGAAATAGTTCGTCTAAATAATTACAAAATAAGTTGAAAGCGAATAAGTTAACAGCTCCAAATAATCTCATATGCAAATACATACTGTGAGCGATAAATAGTAACTATTGTCTATTGCAAACAGCAGAGGAAAATTAGTTACACATGTGCTTTTTATTTGTTGTTTTTTTTCAAGTTCGTACTCTTTGTGTGTGAGTTTGTGTTGCATTATCTTTCATATATATATATTTTTTTTGCAGTAAATTATAAAATAATTGCATTCAGTGTATAAAATATTTTCACACTTGCACAATTGTTTACTTAAGAGCTTAGCACAGAAATTAAAAAATGTAGTAAGCAGAAAAAATAGAGATTTCATTATTTACCGTAGGCTTTCTAGCAGTCCAAGCAAACGAACAGCGTATTCACCATTTTCCAACAAAAGACCATCGCCATTTTTACGATTTTTCACAAATGGAAACTCATTAACTGGTAGCGCGCGCACACGTTTTCGGTAAGTCGTTATGCCACACAGGTGACATATATAATCGTGCCAATTATATTTGCGTTCGGTTGGCGCTATAGCAGGCGTTTGAGCTTCATACCTACCAGAGTGGGAGTTAAAAAAAAAAAAAGAAAAGCAAACAAACAAAGTAAACATTGTAAAAGTGCTAGCGTTATCTTAAGTAAATTGTACTTATGTATAAGTATATATCGTCGATTAAAGTACAAAACCGCGTATCGTCGTTCTGCAAAACCGCGTAACTGGAATTAGCTGCCAAAAAAGTGGATTTGCTCACCGAAGCTCTTGGCTCAAGCCTTATCCACTCATCCCAAAATATACTAGCCAGAAATGCGATTTCCTTTTAAAAAAGGAAACCACTTTGAAATATGAGTATTTTTACTCTCACCAAAATAATTAATGCAACCTCACATACGCGATTTTGCATTATCTTAATACTCGGTTTTGCATTTTGCTGATATGCGTTTTTGTACTTGAAACGACGATATGTAAAAAGATTTGTAAAAGAAGTGGAATAAATAGCATTTAAAAACTTACTTGCGCCACTGATTCAACATCGAATGATAGCAGAATGTACAAACGAGCGCTGAGTAATCCTTGCGCAGTTGCTCAGCATTTGGCAGCGAATTGTGCTTGAGGAGATGAGGAAAATATGGTCGCGAGCCCTGTGGAAGAAAAATAGAAGTTTTTATTAATACTACTTGGCAATCCCCAATGCGGCGTCCAACGTCTATTAAGCAAATTCTTTAAGTTTTTTCTTAAGATGTATTGAAATTCAAGTTTCTTTTAAAAATGCAAAACCTCTATGTTTATATCTGAGCATTAAGGATTACTTAAGAAATTCTAGTGTTTGAGAATGAATCGAACATAGCCAAGATGCCTATCGAAATATAAACAGAAATTTGAATATGTATATTTTTTTTTATAGTGGAGTTTCGAAACATTGAAATCGCATAATGTTAGCAACCCCATTCTAGCAAAGTCCCAAAACTCAGCGCATCACTATTGTGATTTCTACTATGCTACAACAAATATTTTAAATTTTTGTGTATTTCTTTCTTACTTAATATCTAATTTTTGTGGCACATTTTGAGGCGCAATAGAAATCACTATAGTGATTGCTGAATTTTATGCCATTGTTAAAATAGGGCGGTAAATCTTTTTTTTTATTTTTCTCTATAAAGTTATGCTTAAGTACTTTCGTGAAGTTCATGCGCGCAATATTTCAATTTCTTACACGATTTTAGATTTACCAGCTTTAGGGCCGTTTTCTCAAGTCACCTGTAACTTTAAAGGTCACTTTATATTTAAAGGTTGCATTAAAATTTACGATTGTGTCTAAAGTAATGCAGTTTACTGTTCAGGTCCCCTAAAAATTTGAAGCGCATCCTTTGAAGTGTGAGCTATATTCTAAATCAAGATATCGGGTTCTACAGACATCCGAACCCCTGCACTCATATAACCATTAGTTCCGTATAACGTTCGTTTTTGGTTTACAGAGCCTCAGTAAGCTCCCTGCTCGTTCAAAATGATGATCAAAGTGAAAGTTTTCATAGTTAGTAGTTGCCCTATCTTTCGCCTTTAGTTTTGAGTGCAGGAAACTCGGAGCAGCTTGTATATTTGAACTTTGTTCCCCAACTCCTGTTTCGGACGTTTTCCTTACGCATCGTATGCTTCCTTACTTTCAGAAATATCAACATGCCCGGAACACAGTATAGATTGCAAGAATATGCTGAAGGCATATCGAGTTACTATAGCCGTCTTTAATGCATTTATTGCAACTTGAAGCGACCATCACGCTTACTGCAGTAATCTCAATCTGAAAATAACTTCAGTATGAAATAAATATTCTATAAGTTGCCCTCAATGAAAGTTGGCGGGAGAAGACATCGGGTTTGACCAGCTAGTCGACGTTAGATTCAAGATATGCAGTTATTTAAAAAAGGCGTATTATGGTGCGCTTCGGCTCATATCCAGAACATAAATACTGACTAGCTAAGTTGGAAGAGCAACTTTTAGAAAAAAATAGATTCGCTGAGAGGCGCTGGAGTGGAGATATTCGAGTAAGTACAACTGGAGGTTAGTCAATTGGTATTCAGATGGACTACATGACCACTATTATTATACCAAAGGATTTTACGGCGCTGTGGTCGAAATATTAAAAGCACTTTCATTTATTTTAAATATGGTTATGCATATTTTAATAAACACTTAAGTTTTTTCAACAAAAACTGAATTTGCAGAATACAGTCGGAGCTTTGCAAATATCCATCCTACAAAATTATAGACACTAAAAGAATATATTGATGTTGATCTCAGAACTGTACAAATTTACTTTTTGTAAATTACCAATAAAAGTTTATTTTAAAATTTGTCTGGCTTTCAACGATATATTTTTATAAGCAAAAACGCAAAGTATTTTTAAGGTGTATAATTATGAGTCAATTTAGTTAATTTTTTAACATTGTTGTCATCACGAAACTCCATATCCGAGCCCTAACCGCCAAAAAAACGTAAGCGATATTTTTGTTTTCAAATTCTTCGTTTTGGTGCAGAAATTCTCCTAGATGCATTTACGTTTTTTTCTGGCGGTTAGGAATCGATATGTATTTTTATAGAAAAGTCCTAAGGCTCATTCAAGTTTTGGCATTTTTGTTTGTCTAGAAAGCATAAAATCCCAATTTTTGCACTCAAACACATCTAACTCTCTGCTATGCCTAATAATTACAAGTCCAAACTTTCTTACAAATACAAAATTGCAATTAAACTTTACCTCTTTGCTTGCATACAACACCCTCGCCAATGTCAAATCCGAATGCAAGCCACATAGGAAACAATAAATCGATGTGCTGGCTGGTGTTGAAGACACAGATGGCGTGGACGGTGGTGTAGTTATGGTTAGACCGCCATGACGTGAGCCATTGGGTGAGCTTGAAGTGATCATGGGCGAAGGTATATTGTATCTATATAAAGAGAAATGTATATAGTTTAAAATATCATATCATAAATATATTAAAAAATATATATAGAAAATGGTTTTTAGCTCTCTTATGTACCTTCTATGCTCTAATGGCACACGCTCGGCATCCATTGTCTCCCATTGACGCGCTAAGTAATTAACACAATCCTTGCAGGCGAGTACACGATTGTTGGTATCGTTGTTATTGGCAGAGCCACCGCTACCATTACCACCACCTCCATTGTTGCCACTTAAGCTGACATTATCACGACTGTTGCTATTGCTTCCACGCAAGCAGGGAAAATGCATGGCATGCGAATTCATGTGTTCGGCGCTAGTAGAGAGCCATTCCATTTTGTTGGCAGCGGAAAGGACTTTACAAATGGAGCAACTGTGCAAGGAGATACAAACATGCATTAGGAAACATTTTATTAAAAATTTCATTTGAATTTTTTTCGCAATTTAGGTAAGTATTGAAATATTTCGTTTTTATGCTATGCCACTAGGGCACGAACCACGACATTCGTGATCGAATGAAAATAATTGCATTTGCCGAAACGCACTTGTCATACAATGCCGTAATCTCAAAAACTAATTTCGATTCGAGTTTTTTCGGTATCGAATGTTGTTCATCGAGCGTTTAGAAGAAGCATATGACCACCCTACTACGTACATATGAACATATAATAGAACAATTTTTTATATGATTTAAAATTATATATCCAGAGCTTATATTCAATCTGTCTACAATTTTAATTTAAACAAAATAGTTTCTGATATTCAAACCAACCCGTGACTGAACTTGTTAGTCCAACAGTAAATTTTACTAACAAACGATATATGAGACTATCTTCACAGTATCATCGATGGCAGTTAAGTCGGAGGATGATTTCATTATAAAAAAAAAAACTAATTTTTGTTGTTTTGCAGATATAATCGCTTGATATATGTAATACACTCCGCTTCGCTTGAATAGGTACACATTTTTTCCTTAAGATCTGGACTTTAGGGCATCGGCGAAACTTCGTTTTAATCTCACTTTGCAGAATGTTCAATTTCGATTGTGATTGTGAAAATGAAGAAAACACCGAGAATGAGTTCAGCTCAATAACAACTTTCCAAACAACACCACCACTCAGTAACGGTGAAAATGGGCAAATCTGTACAAATGTACAAATCGTGCGACCCCCGCTTTAAACCTTTTTAAGAATTTAAAGGACTATAACAGAGTAAGAATGAGTCGAGCAGGCGCACTTTTAACTGCAAAAATTGCATAAACGGAGGAATTCACGAATCCAGGTAGGTTATCTGTTGGAAAAAAACGCATGGAAATGCAAATATTTTTGACAGCTGAAGTCGGCTCAGCGTCCGCATGAAATGAGCTAGGCGGAAATTATAACGAGGTCGTCATCTCATTGTCGAGATTAAACCAAAATTAAAGAAAAACGTTGGTGTCCATGACACCACAATTTGGACTGCGAATCACTTAATACACGTGGTTTCAGAAAATGTCAAAAAAGAGCATACAGCTGAAAATTTATACAACTCGCATGCCTGGAAGGACAACTAGAAAATGGTGGTTTTCTCCGGCGAAAAATTTAATCTTGAAGGCTACAATGATTTAATAATAATTTTCACGATTTTTGAAAGGAAGAACGTTGGGAAGGGAAACCTTATGATCAAGTTGAGAGTATGGCAGTCTGAACCGCGATTTCGTATTCTAGAGAAGTTTAGATTACGGAAAATTCATGCAAAAAAATATAAAGGAAATTTGTTTGACATTTGTCGCATATCTTTGCAACTTGTTCTTGAATATCCTATCAAAATTATGCACCAATTCGCACTGCGGGAGCTGTGAAAACGAGGATAAGCAAAGTCGTAATTTTTCAGTATTCATCCTATTCACAGGACCTAAACTTAATGGAAAATGTTTGGAATTAGATGTTTGGCAATTTTTTCGAGTCAGTCGAACCATGTGATGAATGGTAGTTGTTCTTTCCGGCAAATAAAGTGGCAAGTAGCGAAATGTCCTTGCTTTTTCAATACGCCCGTAGAACTCTCTTCTGGATAGGGGTTTTTCCCATATATTGGAATTAAGGATGTAGTATGCAATACTAAAAGTGTTATACACTATAACAAAAATGAAAGGTATGCTTTTGTTGGTTCAATGTAGTCCTTTCCTTGTTTTAAAGCCACTGTGCCTATTCAAGCGAATCAAAATAATATGCACAATTTTCGTGGCATGAAATTCAAAGTAATCAAGGTGTTTTCTTCATATTTTCACCACTTTTCTTCGAAAGCTGATCATTCTTCAAAATGAGATTGAAAGGAAGCTTTTTTACAAATGTCCCAAGTCGTAGACAGATCTGAAGAAATGTGTACCTATTCAAGTGAAGCGGAGTGTATATACTTAATAATAAAAATAATTTGTTTTTAAGCGGTAGACTTAAGATAAATATAGACATAGTATTTATATCATCGCAGCTGTGCAGATAAATATGTTTGGCAAAAATGTTGTACAACTTTTCCATGTACATCATGTGCGTAAATCGTCGCCTGGGTAGAAGTTTGTCGTATGCTAGTTTCGGCAAGTTTGGCCAATCGCGATTGAAGTATTGGAATGCAATTTCTACGAAATGGACAATAGATTTTCCAAAGCCTCGGAGAATGTTACTAGTTCACGAAGTTCTTAAAAATATTTGGATCACAAATTTTTTATTTTTTTTTTGTTCACCGGATGCCACTATCCAATTCCTATGCAATTCGCTCGGTGATTCCGTAAATGAAGTTATTTTTTATGGATAACTTTTCGAGATATTTGAAATTTACCATTATTCAGCTTAAAAAAAAAGAGTGGTTCCACTTAATTACGTATGTATATCTTACGAACCAATTGAACAATCGATTTTCAGAATCACCAAGCAATTCTCATAGGAATTGGATAGTGGATCCAAAGCTATTTCATAAAATTTTTGAGGTTATGAAGGTTTTTCTGTAGTTACATTTTGTCGTATGCTGCATTTTCCAACAATTTTGCAGCCACTTTGAAATACGGCAAAATGTGATAAACATATGTACCAAATTAACGACGATTTTTACTCAATATCTCGGAAACTAAAGGAGATGTCCAAAAATGAATAACGCCATTTGAAGATCTTTGTTTTAAATATGTTAACTGTCATTACAACTAAAAATCGTCAAAATGCGTGCTTACGACAATCTATTTATCCAGGCGACAAATGTATTTATACAGATCTTTGAATAAAATACTTACGGATATTGTCCACGCTCATTTTCGCCGGGTCCCTGAGATGATGATGTCGGCGAATTTGGACGCGAATCACCCTGTCGTGCGAATTTAAAATCACGCTGTGTGGATGGAGAACTATTTGAGATTGGTTCGTATGGCTGAAAAGGAAGTGAAATAGTTGGCAGGCACCTATATTACTACATTACCAGACGGCATAAGCTGCATATGTATAGTAGCATACAAATACAAATACAAACAACAAATGCAATAGGACAAACAAAAGCTAAGGCTAAAGCTAACAACACATTTTTATGTACATATGTATATATAAAAAATAGGTTTACACTGCCATATTTCAAATCCATACGAAATATAAAATTTCGCGAATAAATCAATTTTATTTGCGTCACTACAATGATCTGTTTTGTCAATACTTATAAGTAATTTGATTTATTTATTTATTTATGAA